TTTAATCACTGTCAATATTTGGGGGTAATTTATGTAATATAAACATTAAAATATCTAATATAAATGCATTATAATTTTTTACATAATTATTTTTTATTAGTGAAACACCATGAGGTAGTTTTAGACTTACAAACTTTTGTGCTTGGGTTTCAGTTATACAATGATTGAGTACCCATCCCTCCACCAGTGCCCATTCTCCACCACCAATGATCCCAGTAGCCCTCCCACCACCCCATCCCCCCTTACCCTACCTGCCTTTGTGGCAGAGCATTCCCTTTTGCTCTCTCTTTCCTTTAGGGTGTTGTGGTTTGCAATAGAGGCATTGAGTGGCCATCGTGTTCAGTCAACTTTCAGCACACATCTCACATCCCAGCAAATCCTCCAAACATCCTTTACTTGATGTTCCCTTCTCCATCTGAGTTGCTTTTTCCCCCAGCATGTGCTGCCGGCTTCCAAGCCATGGAGCAGACCTCCTGGTACTTATCTCAACTATTCTTGGGTGTTCGTCTCCCATTCTGTTACTTTATATTCCCCAGATGAGTGCAGTTTTTCTATGTCTGTCCCTCTTTTTCTGGCTCATTTCTTTTAATATGATAAGTTTCCATGTAGAACCACTTGTATGTAAATTTCATGACTTGATCTTTTCTAATAGCTGCACAGTATTCCATTGTGTAGATGTTCCAAAGTTTTTTTAACCAGTGATCTGTTCTCGGGCACTCAGGTTTTTTCCAGATTTTGGCTACTGTGAACAGTGCAGCAATGAACATACAGTGCAGATGTCATTTTGACTATACTTTTTTGCCTATCTGGGATATATTCCCAGGAGTGGTATTGCTGGGTTAAATGGGAGCTCAGTTTCTAATTTTTTGAGAATGGTCCATACTGTTTTCCAAAAGGGATGAACCAGTTGGCATTCCCACCAGCAGTGAAGGAGGGTCCCTTTCTCGCCACATCCGCACCAACACCGGTTGCTTTTGTTCTTTTGGATGTAGGCTAGTCTCTGTGTTGTGAGATGATATCTCATTGTTGTTTTGATATGCATCTCCCTGATGATTAATGATGTAGAGCGTTTCTTCATGTGCCTTTTAGCCATTCAGATTTCTTCTTTGAGAAAGTTTCCATTCATCACCCCATTTTTTGATGGGGTTGTATTTTTTTTTGTAGGAGTACTGCTGTTTATTCAGCCACTGATTAGCTGATTGAATTGGGCATGAACTCCACCTTAATTTTTATTTATTTATTTATTTTCTGGAGCGATAGCACTGCGGGTAGGGCGTTCGCCTTACAAGCGGCCAACATGGCCGACCCGAGTTCGATTCCTCTGCCCCTCTCGGAGAGCCCGGCAAGCTACCGAGAGTATTCGATATGCCAGACACAGTAACAACAAAGTCTCCAATGGAGACGTTACTGGGCCCGCTCGAGCAAATCGACGATCAACGGGAGGGCCTTTACCTTTACCTTTACCTTATTTTCTTTTTATATTTATTGAATCACTGTGGGGAAAGTTACTAAGCTTTCAAGTTTAAGTCTCGGTCATACAATGATCAAACACCTTTCCCTTCACCAGTACTCATTTTTCACCACCAAGAACCCCAGTATATCCCACCCACCCACCCACCCACCCCTCCAAATGCCTGTGAGGCAGATGATTTCTACTTAACTCTTCTCTACATTGATTACATTATTTCGACAAAAGATGCACCATTATTGTTTAGAATTTCCCCCCAAACAATCAGAATTGCTGAAAAGGCATTGTGAAATACTTTGTTTTCTATAGCTGGTTATGAGAATCATATAATGTCATGTGGCCACGATTTTGGATTTCTGCAAGGAGCCAGATAATTACGAGATTGGTTTCTGTGTGTCTGGTGTTATGGCCATGCCAGAGAGCCGCTTGTTTAACGCATGGTCCATTCACTTTTCTTCTGCAAGCTACCTTGCTGCCAGGGGGAAAAAATGTGGAAGGGAGCAACACCCTTTCCCTCCCGGGCAGCATGGTGCCCTAGTTTAACGCATGGTCCATTCACTTTTATGCCGCAAGCTTCCAGGCTCTGGATTAAGTCCTTTTGCCTCTGGAGCCATGGCCGTGCCAGAGAGCCGCTTGTGGGGGGCAACTCATGACCTCGGTAGGGCGTGAAGGACGAGCCGGTACCACCCCCCCCTTCCCATGAGACTGCAGTTGTCCCGTCACCGCCAGCTCATACCTGGCTTTCCAAAAAGCTCTGAGCTGGCGGCCACCTTATATGCAGTCCAGATGCATTTCTGCCAAAAGCCGCTGGGTTTCAAGATTTGTTTCTGAGTCTCAGTATCATGGCTATTAATCAGCTTGATCAGGAGCCAGAGGCCGTTTGTAGGCGACGACTCGGGGTCTCGTTGGGATGGGGAGAAAGAGTCGGCTCCACCCCCATGTGGCGAGGTCCCATGTGTCTCATCACTGCAGGCCCAATCCTGACTGTCCAGTGGCCTCTGGAGGATGGTGGTCACCAGGCTGCCAGGGGGAAAAGGCCAAGGCATGAAATCTATTCCCTCCTGGAGTGGCCCAGCACCAGTAACCTACTACAGGAACAGGACGCATTTCTGCCAAAAGCCTTTGGGTTCCGAGATTCGTTTCTGAGACTCTGGAATCAGGGCCATTAAGCAGTTCGATCAGGAACCAGAGAGGCCATGCCTCCAATTATATAGCTGAGCCCAAGGTGGTTTTTGGGTGTCTCCCACATACCTAACTTTCAGCCGTTTACTTTCTTGGTAAACTTTGCCCCAAGGTTTTGGGGTCTGGCCAAAGGCACAGCAGCAATTTTGGGGTATCTGAAAGTCTGACGTTGCCATCAGGCTGCTGATGCACTCACCTCACAGGTACATATTGATCTGCTGGCGGCACCATACCCCCTGGGGTTGGATGTTTTTACATAAAAATTTTAGGGGCTGGGATATGCTCTGCGTATAGAGCACATGTCTTCTAAGCATGAGGCACCATGAAAAAAAAATATGGACTTTCTATGTAGAGTTTCAGAATTTATAACATATTTTTTATTAAAGTGTAACATATTTGGGGCTAGAAGGTAACAAGCTGATCCATGCTTTTCATGCAATAATCCCAGGTTTGATCAGCAGAATTGCATGGTTTCCCCTAAACACCACTGATTGCAGGCAGTAAATGGTCCAGCAATAAACCAGGAGTTGCCCCTGAGCACGACTACGTGTGATTGCAAAACAAACAAAAAGTATTATAGATTAGCATATATTTAAGTAAGTATAAGTTAGGCACACAGAAGCGACAAGTTCCAGCAGGCACCACAGCATGGGAGATTTCTCTGGACCCCAGTCAGAGCTGATTTCACCAGCACACTCCAGGCAGATGTGCAGTCTCCCCACCTTCTCCAGATGGAATTCCAACGACCATGAGCTTATGGAAGCAAGGCCCCAGAATGTAGGTTTGAGGATTAAGCCTCTAAACTGCATGGCCGCAGTGAAACTGTGCAATCTCAGCACAGCTTCCCATCTGCTCTTGATACAGGAAGTCATGCCCACAACCCACCCCCGGGTGCCATCTTGGCACACCAACAGCCCAGGCCCAGAAACTCCCAACTGAATCTCAAAATGTCATAGCTCCCTACAGAGATGTTTCTGGAACCCAACCATTTACAATCTTAGAACTTCAGTTTACACGACCACAGGACCTCTCATTACAGGCAAAATGAGCAACGGAAAATAATCTAGCATCTGCCTCTGGAAGGCAGGCTTGAATAGTGATGGGAAAATTCAAGCAAAATATAATGCCCCAAAGTGGAGAGAGTATCTGAGCAATTGTCTGCCATAGAGGCAGGATGAGAACTGGGATGGAGGGGGGAGGTGATAATGGGGATATTGGTGGTGGAAAGTTTGCACTGGTAGAAGGATAGGTGTTCGATCATTGTATGACTGAATCTCAAACGTGAAAGCTTTGTAATTATACCTCACGGTGGTTAATAAAATAAGTAACTAAATAAATAAGTTAGCTGTCTTAAATATCCAAATCTATTTGGTTGCATTATGGTTTAGGAAAGCAGAAACTATAGCCTGTTATCTATTAACACAAACAGGCTCAAATCCTTCTTGAAAGTGTAAAGGTTTCTCCTGAGCACAGAGCCAGGAGTAACCCCTGTGCACTGCCAGGTGTGACCCAAAAAGAAAAAAATGTGTAAAGGTAATAAATGATTAAAAAAAAAAACTGGGGCTGGAGAGATAGTACAACAGCTAGGGTGCTTGTCTTGTATGTGGTCCACCAGGACTCAATCCACAGCATCCTATATGATCCCCTCAGCACCACCAGAAGTAATTTTTGAGTGCAGAGGCAGGAGTAACCACTGAGCATAGCCAGGTGTGGCCCCAAAACAAATAAAAACCAAAATAATCATAAAAACGTATGTCCAAGTAATTCAAGACACTATAAATGACACGGAAACACATTTTTATTATATACTAAATTTAAAAATACAAATCTTATTAAAAATGCTTATGAAACATTGTATACATAAGTCCGTCAAATACTATCCAATCATGACATTATATACATTTGCTGAAGTTAATCAGAAACAGAACAAAGTACTTAACTTTGCTGATAAACGAATTTCAGAAGTCAAACATTTTTAACATTTGGCAACTATGAAGTAGTGATCTGCACAGAAAGGTATTTGCAGAGGTAAAAGAGTAAGAAAATAAACGGAATAATGCAAATAGTCCTGCCCTGTGTGTTAATAAGTAGATCTCATTCTTTAAATCTCATTTCAACAGAAACTAAAGTGCACAAAGACCACCAGGAATACTTGATTTGGTTATACCCTAATATATATGACAGCCAATGTGCTGCCATATTGAGGGTTTCAATTCTTTGTACTGTTCCTGAGGGTTCAGAAATGAATTCTGATGTAGCTAAGGGAAGAGAAGCCAAAACTTTCTAAATTGCACCAAGAGGCCTTAAAGTGTAAAAACGTCAAAGGTTTTTTTTTTTTAAAAAAAAAAAGAATTAATTTGGGGATAGTCTCAAGGAAATTATTCCTTCTTATTTTTTTCCCTGGGAATAAAATTAGAATAAGAACCTAGTTTTACCTCTGGAAATGCTTATTAAAAATCTGCTTCAATTAAAAAAAAATCAGGCATGTAGAGCAAGCACCACAATACTGTCAGTCACTGTTCACCACTTACTACATCATAAATACCAGGCTTAAATGCCTGCCCTCTAAAAAGTCACAACAAATACATGTAGAAGCATGTTATTATTTGACACTGATTTTACTAATTAACATTACATAGATTTTGTAAAAATAGGTCACCACCATACAATCAAGGAAGAGGAAAAGGAAAGCTGCTATTCTACAAAAGTGCTCCTTTTAGCTTTCAAATCCAACAGCTTGATTTGGGGTAAAACAAGATTGTAAGATAAGGCCATCAGTTCTAAATAAGCTGATGATGCCATATGTACATACTCACATATATGTTTAATTTTCAATTCTGATTTAACACTAATGGACTAATACAAACCATTTATAGGAAACATTGTATCAGGCTTATTTACAAATACTTGATAAGTGACAAAGATATGGAAAATCAAAAACATTGCAGATCAATGTAATCATTTCGCAACATAACTCATTAGAGATAAAAAAGATTTGCATGATGTTTTTAAAAAACAAAGAAAAAAGTTTAATAAGAAACCCCTACCATATATATCTGTTGCCACTGAACCTACTGGTAAATAAAAGTATGATCCTGATTAAACTTTTATTACCATACCTCTTAATAACATACCAATATGAGCTCTACCTCAAGTATTACCTACAAATACACAGTCTCTCATGACTCGATGAGAATATTAAGTTACTGAATACATTTTTTACTCCCATGGCACATCATACTTGGTAGGTTTAGATAACACTTAAATCATGATTACGAATGTTTAATTGAGTATTTTCCTTTCTGTAGCTGTGAAATGTAAAGCTTAGATTTGCTTCCATCAGGTCTCTTAAACCAAACTTCATCATGGTTAATTGTTGTAATTACAGCACTAAAAAGAAAAAAAAAAGAGAAAGAATAAACGAAAAAATAACATCATACCTCCTTCATTTGCTTTAAAGTACTAGCTATAACCAAAATACCTGGACTGCATTAGACTCAAGAATGCAATTGTCATTTCCTAGAGAAATGAACTACCAGGATAGCATTCTTTAAAAAATACAATCAGCAACACTTCATAATCTCGTTTCTCAGGGCCAGAGCCATTGAACAGGGATAGGACATTTGCCTTGAATGCAAAATTTCAATCTCCAGCACCCCATATGGTTTCCCAAGGCCCACAGGAGTTATTTCTGAGTAGAGGGCCAAGAGTTAACTATAAGCATCGCTGGGTGTGGCCCACTCCCCCCAATTTTTTTTAAATAATCTCCTTTGTCTTATTACTGCTGGCAAATCTTATTTTGTTGGTGTTTGGGGGGTTACACCCTGATGGTATACAAGGTTACTCCTGGCTCTACACTCAGGAATTACTTCTGGTGGTGCATGGACCATATGAGGTGCCAGACATCAAACCAGGGTCGACTGCATACACGGTACATACCTTACCCGCTGTGCTATCTCTCCAGACCCCGCAAATGTTACTTTTCTTCCCACCCAACCCCCCACAATTTTACTTTATTAAAGCACCATGAATTACAGTTATTCATAGTTAGAGCTTTCTATTCTAACTGTTAAATGCACAATTTTTTCCTACTCTACCTCATCCTACTACAAGACAGTAAAGCTACAACCACTATACATATAGTTATTACTCCAGCTCTGATCAACCTTGGTTTTAAAATATATTTCAAATACCAATCCCTACCTTCCAGTATCAAATTACCTGTGTTACTTGTACAGGTTTTTGACACTTCTGATTTTTGCACAGAAATATGTATATATTTTTGTTTTGTTTTGTTTGAGTGACCCCTGACCTCTCTGACACCCAGCAGAGGTCAGGGGTCACTCCTGACTCTGCACTCAGGAATTACTTCTGGCAGTGTTTGGAGGACCTTATGAGATGCTGGAAATCAAACTCAGGTTGGCTACATGCAAGGCACATGCCCACCTGCTGTGCTATCACTATGGTCCCAACATTAAATATTTTCAAAACAGACTTCTGTTTATTCCACTTCAATGCTATTTCATATTTTTTAACCATGTTTCTATGTTGTAGTAAAAATGTCACAAAAGCAATATTTTTTGACATGATGTAAACTCTAATACTGAGCAACACTGAAATGATAATGGCTTTTTACCTTGTAGGACACTCATCTTTTTTATCAATACATATTGTTTGTCCACGTATATACCATTCACCATCATAATATAATCTTCCCTCTTCAGATCTAGCACTGTGCAAATGCTTTTCCAGTTTCACAGGTGCTGGAGTGATAAGATCAAAAACTGTTAAATTAATTATGCAGTATTAGAAGAACACAAGTGCAGAACTTTTTCATTCTTAAAAAGTTAAAAATTAACTTTGTGGGCCAGAGCTATAGATCAGGGGATAGGGTGCTTGCCTTATACACAGCCAACGCAGGTTCAATTCCCAGCATCCCATATGGTCTCCTAAGCACTGCTAGGAGTAATGCCTGGGTGCAGTGCCAGGAATAACCCTGGAGCATTGCTGGGTGTGTGTCCCCCCCAAAAAAAAATAATAAATAATTAAACCTGAGACTGGAGAAGTAGCACAACAGGAGGTAAGGCACTTGCCTTGCATGCTAATGACCTGGATTCAATCCTCAGCATATATGGTTCCCTGAGCACTGCCAGGAGTTATTCCTGAGTACAGAGCCAGAAATATAAGCCCTGAGCACAGGTGGCTTTTTATCCCAAAACGAACAGATCAAATAAACAAAAAGAATTAACACCAATCTATTACGCAAAAAAAAAAAAAAAAACCCACTAAAGATACTTATTAGATAACAGACCAAAATCACATAAGGAAATTAATTTCTTACTTTTCCTTCTGTTGTTGTTGTTTTTGAGTTTTGTCTTTTGGGTCACACCTGGCAGTGCTCTAGGGCTATTCCCCACTAGATGCTCAGGGGCAGCTCCTGGCAGTATTTGGGGGACCATGTGGTGCTGGAAATCAAACCTGCAAGAAAGTACATGCTACAGCCCCTGAGCTACTGGGTTACCTCTGCAATGCATTTCTTACATATAATGAAATTCACTGTTTTTCTATAACTACTAAACAAAGCTAGAAAAGCATCAGAAATCTGTTATATAAGTGCCAACAGACAAAGGTACATCAATTACCAGTGCATACTTTTAACCAAATTTAAAATGTCAATTGTCTTATTTGCACAGAAAATTTTATTTATTTACTATTTTCTCCCCAATAGATAGATATCTAACACTTCCAAAGAAGTAGGTTTTAGTACATATTCCAAGAGTTCTCAAGGCATTTGACTCTTAAGAGGAAATTTCCTGATTAGAACTTTCCATTTTAAATCCTAGAAGTTGGTCTGACATTAACCATATAAAAACATGCAGAGAAAGAAATATTCTTCATGGAAGTACACTGTCAAAAGTACATCTGTAACATTCAAATGTCTCCACTTAGAGAGGTCTTCCTCAACCATCACATCTGTTTCTCAGTTCATCTTTTTTTGTCACTGAGGAGAGCCTGCAAGCAGTGCTCAGGAGGCGGTGCAAGGGCCACGCCCAGTAATTCTTGAATTTTATACTGTTCACTGTTCAATGCTAGTGCCCATGATGACAGTGCTATATGGGCCCTTAGTGTCAGGGACCTGCAGGGCCTCCCCTGCCTTGGATGCCACCAGGGCTCTAGTATCATGCTTGGGAATTATATGCAGTGCTGGGCACCAAACTGGGCCACATGCAACACCTTTACCCCAGTACTTACTCTCCGACCCTAAACATTCCTTTTTTTAACATCAAAATATGTTTTCTAAAAATCTAGCTTCAGAGACTGGAGTGATAGAAGGTAAGGCAATTTGCCTTGCAAATAGCCACTTTGGCTGACCCTGCTTCAATCCCTGGCACTGAATAATGCTCTGCAGGGCAAACCAAAGGTTACTCCTGAGCACAGAGCCAAAAGAGCCCCTGAGTACCATAGGGTGTGATCCCCAAAATAATTTAATTAAATCATTCATCTCTTAATAGCAGTAAGAACATAGTTAGGGGCTGGAGTGATAGTGCAGTGAGTAGGGCCTTGGACCAGCTGACCTAGTTTCAATCCCTGGCATCCTGTGTGGTCTCCAAGCACCACCAGGAGTAATTCCTGAGTGCAGAGGCAGAAGTAACCCATTGCTGGGTGTGCCCCACCCCCCAAAATTAATTAAAGATACTTTTAAAAAACAACACAGTTAAAACAAAGAAGGAATGTATCACATTTAGGAATCTTGAAATTTTAAAATGAAGCAAAGAATATAAAATTTCTTATTTTATATAACTCCAGGCAGAATGTTCACTGATATAAACCACTAATGGGGAACTCTTTAACGTGTAGAATATCTAACTCCAAGGTTTCAAACCTTCACAGAAAAGATCTGTGAACAGACTAAGTGACTTACGTTCTGTTTTCACTCTGTGAGGACCCAATGTAGCCATTGCCTTGATTTAAAAAAAGAAGAAAAAGGTTGTCTTGAGTTAATAGACTATTTTGGAACCTAATATAAAACATTACTGATAAACTTAATAACAAGCAGTGAAATACAACCTTTGGCTGTTATAATAAATTGTTACTAAGACCATAAAGAATATATTTAAACAACAATTTCTCCTAGAGATGTGGTTAATGCCTGAAATCATCTCTACCCTCAACAAGTTTCTGAAAACAGAAAAACTTAGTAAGGAAAATGTCTTTTCAAACTAGCACAGACAACCCTATTGATAACTCTTGAATGTTTAATGATAGAGTGTAAAGTATAAGACATATAGTAAAAGGTTCAATTATTCATTTTCATTCTGTCAGCAAATATTTACTGAGTATCTTCTAGAAGTCAGGACTGGGTCATGGACCAAGCACAAGACAGTTTTATTTATGTTTTGGCAACCAAAATAAATACTTTTACATAAATTACTGTATTCTTATAGAAAACTGTTAACCTGTCTCTTAAAGTAGTTTTGCAATAGACTGTTATGTTTTAATACCAATTACCCAGAGAATGATGCAAAGCAAATTTGCAATGATCATATTGTGACATATTAATAAAAAAACAGAAATCCTTAAAAATAGGCTATACAAATATAATACACCTGTATTCTACTATTTTTTAATCATACCTTTCTAATTGTTGTCCAGTCTTCAAGAATATCAAGATCTTGCAGCATATAGACTATATATGGACGTTGAAAGGTCAAGGTCAGTTTAGTGATAAGTTCATTACAGTCTAAATTCTATTTTTAATTTGTTTTCCAGATAACACAATAATTTCTGAGGGCTGGAGCGATAGCACAGCGGTAGGGCATTTGCCTTGCACACAGCCAACATGGCCGACCCGAGTTTGATTCCTCCACCCCTCTCGGAGAGCCCGGCAAGCTAACGAGAGTATCTCACCCACACGGCAAAGCCTGGCAAGCTACCCGTGATGTATTCGATATGCCAAACACAGTAACAACAAAGTCTCCAATGGAGACGTTACTGGGCCCGCTTGAGCAAATCGATGAACAACGGGAGGACCGTGATCAGTGATCTATAATTTTTGGTATGCTAAATTCTGGCTTGAATTTAGTCTTCAAAAAAACTGTAAGAGGTTGAATTCCTTTTTTAATTTAAAGAACTGTGATTTGCACTTATTGATAGGTATTTATTGATAGTTGGGTTTTAGGCATATCGTTTTTCAACACCAATCCTACCACTAGGGTCAACTATCCTCCACCAGTGTTCATATATTCCCTCCATCCCAACCTTCACCGATCCCCACCTGTCAATCTGACAGTCACATTACAAAGTTACAGAGATTGCAGCTTTGATCTCATGTTTTCAGTGTTATTGAGTCTGTGTTCAGGATATACGGCTATACCATTCACCCATACCACCAGTATAACTGAAGTCCTGATGCCTGTTCATCCACTACTTCCCATTCTTTTCTTCCCCACCCCCTTGATTTCTTTCCTTCTCTATCCTTCTCTTCTCTAAACACTGTTGATCTAGGGTGATCGAGGCATCCCCCTTTTATTACATTTCTTGTAAAAGCATAAATTCTGCTTGTATAGTAAAGTTGCAGGCTTGTTAGAAAGAAAGAAACACTGTCCTCCCGATGTTCATCTATTTGCTCGAGCCGGCCCAGTAACGTGAGACTTCTTGTTACTGTGTTTGGCATATTGAATACTCTCGGCAGCTTGCCAGGCTCTCCGAGAGGGGCGGAGGAATCGAACCCAGCTTGGTCAGGCTGGCTGCGCCCATGGCAAACGCCCTGAAATCAATACCCAAAAGTCCATGGCTTTCCTATACGCAAATAGTGAGAAAGAAGAAAAGTAAAGTAAAGGCCCTCCCGTTGATCGTCGATTTGCTCGAGCGGGCCCAGTAACGTCTCCATTGGAGACTTTGTTGTTACTGTGTCTGGCATATCGAATACTCTCGGTAGCTTGCCGGGCTCTCCGAGAGGGGCGGAGGAATCGAACTCGGGTCGGCCATGTTGGCCGCTTGTAAGGCGAACGCCCTACCCGCTGTGCTATCGCTCCAGCCCGAGAAAGAAGAAAGTGACATGAAAAAAACAATCTCGTCCACAACTGTGCCCCAGAAAATCAAGTACCGAGGAATCATCTTAACTAAGGAAGTAAAGGACCTGTACAAAGAAAAGTACAAAACACTACTTCAGGAAATAAAAGAGGAAACAAGAAAATGGAAAGATATCCCCTGCTCATGGATTGGGAGAATTAACATTGTCAAAATGGCAATACTTCCCAAAGCATTGTACAAATTCAATGTGATCCCTATAACGATACCCATGACATTCTTCAAAGAAATGGAGCAAACACTCCTGAAATTCATATGGAACAATAAGCCCCCACAAATAGCTAAAGCAATTCTTGGGAAAAAGAAAATGGGAGGAATCAACCTCCCTTTACAAAGCAGTAATAATTAAAATAGCATGGCACTGGAACAAAGGCAGAGCCGCAGACCAATGGAACAGAGTTGAATATACTGATATCTCCCCCCAAACATATGATCATCTAATCTTTGACAAGGGAACAAGAAATGTGAAGTGGAGCAAGGAAAGCCTCTTTAACAAATTGTGCTGGCAAAACTGGACAGCTACATGCAAAAAAATGGGCTCAGATCTGTGCCTAACACCATGTACAAAAGTAAGATCAAAATGGATTAAAGACCTCAACATCAGACCGGAATCCATAAGGTACAATGAAGAAAAAGTTGGCAAAAACCTCCATGACATTGAAGCTAATGATTTCTTCAAAGATGTCACGCCATTGGCCAAGCAAGTGAAAACAGAGATAGACAAATGAAACTATCTTAAACTAAGAAGCTTCTGCACCTCCAAAGAAACAGTTTCCAAAATACAAAGACAGTCTACAGATTGGGAAAGGATATTTGCCCAATACCCATCTGACAAGTGGTTGATATCAAAGACATACAAAGTACTAATTGAACTCCACAAGAAGAAAACATCCAACCCCATTAAAAAATGGGGTGACAAAATGAACAGAAACTTTGTCAAAGAAGAAATCCGAATGCCTAAAAGGCACATGAGAAAAATGCTCTACATCATAAACATCAGGGAGATGCAGATCAAAACCACAATGAGATACCATCTCACACCACAGAGACTGGCCCACATCCAAAAGAACAAAAGTAACTGGTGCTGGCATGGATGTGGCGAGAAAGGGACCCTCCTTCACTACTGATGGGAATACCGAATGGAAAATAGTAGGGACTATTCTCAAAAAATTAGAAATTGAGCTTCCATTTGATCCAGCAATACCACTCCTGGGAATATATCCCAGATAGGCAAAAAAGTATAGTCGAAGTGACATCTGCACTTGTTTGTTCACTGCAGCACTCTTTACAATAGCCAGAATCTGGAAAAAAAACTTGAGTGCCGGAGAACAGATGACTGGTTAAAGAAACTTTGGTACATCTACACAATGGAGTACTTTGTAGCTGTTAGAAAAGATGAAGTCATGAAATTTACATACAAGTGGTACTACATGGAAAGTATCATGCTAAGTGAAATGAGTCAGAAAGAGAGGTACAGACATAGAAAGACGTCATTCATCTGGGGAAAATAAAGTAACAAAATAGGAGAGCAACACCCAAGAATAGCTGAGATAAGTACCAGGAGGTTTACTCCACGGCTTGGAGGCCAGCCGCACATGCTAGGGGAAAAGGCAGCTCAAATAGAGAAGGGAGCACCAAATAAAGGGTGTTGGGAGAATCCTCCCAGGATGGGAGAAGCATGCTGAAAGTAGACTATAGACCAAACATGATTGCCATTCAATGCCTCTTCTGCAAACCACAGCACCCAAAAGGACAGAGAGAACAAAAGGGAATGCCCTGCCACAAAGGCAGGGTAGGATGGGGGGGGGGGGTGTAGGAGGGATACTGGGATCAGTGGTGGTGGAGAATGGGCACTGGTGGAGGGATGGGTACTCAATCATTGTATAACTGAAACCCAAGCACAAAAATTTGTAAGTCTACAACTGTACCTCATGGTGTTTCACTAATAAAAATTAATTAAAAAAAAAAAAAGAGAAGGGAGCACCAAATAAAGGGTGTTGGGAGGATCCTCCCAGGATGGGAGAAGCATACTGAAAGTAGACTACAGACCGAACATGACTGCCACTCAATGCCTCTTTTGCAAACCACAGCACCCCAAATGAGAGAGAGAACAAAAGGGAATGCCCTGTCACAGAGGCCGGGTGGGACGGGGAGGATGAGGGGTGGGAGGGATACTGGGATCAGTGGTGGTAGAGAATGGGCACTGGTGGAGGGAAGGGTGTTCGATCATTGTATAACTGAAACCCAAGCACAAAAATTTGTAAGTCTACAACTGTACCTCATGGTGTTTCACTAATAAAATTTTTTTTAAAAAGCATAAATTCTGACTTCAAATAATTCTTTAACTAAAAAACTTAGCACCTGGATAAATGTATTCCACTATTTCACATTCTAAAACCATTCTTTCACTATTGTCATTGTCACTGTTATGGCACTGGCAAGTGTGCTACAATTTTAGCTACATCCCTAGCACTATAACCACACACTCCTACAATACCACTGATTATAAGATGCATCTCCAACCTAAACATTTTTTGAGGTGGGGAAGAGAAAGAAGCAAGGAGAAGTTACCACAGAGAATTCCAAGACTGTAATGCACATACTAATTTAATTTAAAGACATTTCAATACCAGAAATATGAAAGATGTTATGTACATTAAAATTAAAGCAGCATGCCATACACCAAGCATTTATTTCAAATCAAAGTCCTCGTGAGCTATAAAGTCATACTCATACTGACTTCCAATTGAGATCATGACTAATTTTCTTCTCTTACTCCTCAGAATCTAAACTACACCCTTTTGCCTTTAATTAGTTTTAGAAATAATTTTTTGCTTACTATGGGATGATACAAACAAAATCTGTGTGCCAATTAAGAGCTACAAAGGAATACACAATACAAAATTTTGTGAGAGCAAAACAGAAAGCCTAAAAACTTTGAAAAGGATATCTGAAACAACGACTGGCTTCTTTTTGTCAGGACTGAATGGATCCTTTCTCTTTTTTCTTGACTGAAGTTCATCATTCCACAGCTCTGGCAAGTAAATAAAATTAAATGTTAGAGTATTTATGGGAAGTGAAGGGAAGTAAAAGGGTATATGTATGTATATATGTACATATTTACATATACATGCATATCATTCATGGTAGCGAGATTTCATAGGCAACTATTTGTGTATACACATACACATATGTATCACCAATTCATGAATAGCTATATATCTAAAGTTTTCTTCTTCATGAAAGTAAAACTCAACTTTACACTTAATGACTAATACCAATAAACCTATGTCAGACACTTCACTTTGCTCTATTTGTTTGCTTTTGTTTCAGGGGGAAAAACTTAGAGCCATACCTGTTGGTGCTGGGGGGGTTGGTGTGGTCCACTCCCAGCTCTGTGCTTGGAGGTCATTCCTGGTGGTACCAGAATGGAACCAGGGTAGGCTGCTTCCCTTGCATGCTCTTTTACCCCTGTTTTATTTCTCTGTCTTTGTCAGGGACTTTATTAAATAGAAATAACAAGTATTTTCTCATCTTCAAACCTATCTCTGAGATGTTTAGTGTTAAAAAATAATTTGCAAGAATTATGACAGTTCCCTGATAGAAACCCCTTCCATAATCCTCCATGAGAAAGCAAATTTTATATTGATCTAATTCTAATGTTTTCTGTTTCTGAAACAAAAAGCTGACTCTGTTTCATTTTTATCCATTTACCCTAGTCTGTGTGGTACCAAAAAATTATTTATTCCTTTGTGTACATGAGAAACTTTCAAGACTCAAAGGGAAATAACATATGCAGTGGTTATCTTCCATTTCTATATTAATTATATTATTATTACTCTCCTAGGATACTCTTTTCATTGTTCCTGTTACACTTCTATGTAATTTCTTTTATATGTCCATTTTCTAACTTTCTGAAGTGTGAGTTCAAATCAAACAACAATAACAGTTCTATCAAATTAGAATGCTCAACCTTACATTAAAAGACAACAATGCTGTAACTCACAACAGCAAATCAAAAATTCAGAATAACTTAAACACAATCACATCATTCACATTACCCGATGTAATATCAATGCTGTGCCTATCTTCTTCAAGTCTTCTTATCTTCTCTTCGAGTTCACTCTGGACTGTATCATATAACAAAAGCTTTTCACTCTAAAGAAAAAACAAATGGATTATACATAAATAGAGAGGAAAATATTGGCCTTTCTTAACCAAGAGTATTAAGTAACTTCTTCTTCAAGTACCTTAACATACAGTATTTATTTGTTTGCTTTTTAAGATTCAACTTAAGAGTTTTAGAGATGAAATGTCAAATGTTGTATGATATTTAGGAAACTAAAAAATATATAATCTAATTATCCAGCAAACTATATGCAAGTATGTTAAGAATGTCTAAGTTTAAATGTAGGAAGAACTAAGTATTTACTTTCTAAATACCCAAGGATGTAGCCCAGTGAGTATAATACTAAATCTTACCGGTAGCTGCACAATGGTAGGGCATTTGCCTTACACGCGGCCAACATGGCCGACCCGAGTTCAATTCCTCTGCCCCTCTCGGAGAGCCCGGCAAGCTACCGAGAGTATCTCGCCCGCACGGCAGAGCCTGGCAAGCTCCCCGTGACGTATTCGATATGCCAGACACAGTAACAACAAAGTCTCCAATGGAGACGTTACTGGGCCCGCTCGAGCAAAATCGACGATCAACGGGAGGGCCTTTACTTTACTTTTTTACTTTACCGGTAGCTGAAGTTCTAGTGTTTATAGATTATTAAAATAATGGATACTGTTGCAGGCATAAGGCAGTGAGTTGGATCCTAGCACTGCCTTATAGGCCAAGTGCAATCCTGGCAGCTTTTTGTGATCCTCAGTCTCAGAAACAAGTACATGTGTGACCCTCAGTGAGCAAGACTACCAACATGTGGGTGAAAACAACTAGAATAGTATGCGACCCCAAGCAAGCTCTACAACCAAATGTGTCGCCCCAATCATCCCAACAGCAACAACAGAGGGAAAGGGAAATACTTTTTAAGAATAAGGGAAAAACACTGGTGGAGGGATGGGTATCTGATCATTGTATAATCGAAACCCAAGCACAAAAAATTGTAAATCTACAACTGTACCTCATGGTGTTTCACTAATAAAAAAAAAAAAGAATAAGGGAAAAAAAGCAAAAGAAGGGAGGCCAAAGCAACAGTACAGAGGATAAGAAGCTTGCTCTGCATGTGGCCAACCCAAGTGTGATCTCCAGTATATCCCATACGGTCACCTGTGTGATCTCCATATATATCCCATACGGTCACCTGAGAATGGCCAGGAGTGATTCTTGAGTGCAAAGCTGGGAGTAATTCCTGAGCATTGCCTGAGGTGGACTAAAAATAACGAAGTTCCACTTGTCACCATAATGAAGAACCTGTCCTAAAGATCTATGTTACATTTAATAAAATGCATATTTTCTCACTTGAACAATAATCAGTTGTTTATTGTTTTATTCCTCACTTGTATCTCAGTATAATATTAAAATAGACATAAAAACAGAAAGAGAAGGATTTATGTATGTTTTAGAATCACTTAAAATAATCCAGTTAAAATCAAGATCATTAAATTATGGATTAATTATATCCAAATTTTTCAACTCTAGCAAGACTAAATGCCTTCCATAAAAGACACAGGACACATTTTACAGGCCAGACAGAATTCATGTTTACTAATTCCACTTCATTATTCTTTTATGTAACACAGTACCCATTATTTTAATATCTGTAAACACTAGAACTTCAGCTATGGGTAAGATTTAGTATTATACACATGCTCCTGAAATAGTATTATAAACCAATGGTAAATCAGCATAATTTGATTTAAAAACATAAAATAAAGCCATAAAACATGCATAAAGTATAATACATAGATTCATTATATTTAGGATTTTAGACAGACTCCCAAGCCAGCTATCACATGCTATTATCTAGTAAGAATCTTAGGCTGCTCAGATAGAGCTGTATCTAACCATTGATAGAGGCTTTGGGGATACATTAGGTATAATTTCTTGTGGAAGACGCAGGCCACATCCATTGTAGGCATCATTCCAGTGTCAATCTTGAAGTTCTTTCTTGACATTTTGAAATTTAGAGTTTACACATGCTTCAACAGCCCCTGAGTCACAGGGAAGAGACAGTTTTTGTCATGTGGCAAGTCATGAGCTAGAGAGAAAAAGGCAAGTAAAAGAAGTCTGAAGCTTAATCTCCTAGAGAAAAGCATCCTTTTTTAGTGAACAGAGGGAATCCTATGTTGATGTGGTTCTTCTGGAATCCTTCAGATCTGGAGGTTACCAAGACCATACTCCACAGTGTTCAGGAGACACCAGGGCCATCCCTGCTAGGGATCAAATCTAGGGAATAGCACATGCAAGGCACACTTCTAGAGCTTTAATTTAGCTCTCTCACTCTTGAAAAATTATCTTGTTGCAAGCTAACCTCTATGCTTACTTCGTTTCACTTGTCTGCTGCCTTTGGTCAAGTCTTATGAGATAGTCCAGCCTTAATACTTGGAAATGTTATGTATCAGGAAGAGAGCAGCACTCCATCGAACAATCAAAACAATGTGACAGAGCCAGGAAGAGGCTCAGAGGTTCAAGCACATGAACCTAACAAGTAACATCTTTTAGAACAGTAATCTTGGGTGGAGGTGGGTGTGGGAAAGGGTATCCCATGTGGTCCCCCAAGTACCACCAGTAGTGATTCCTGAGTGCAATGCCAGAAGTTACCTACCCCTGAGTACTGCCAAGTGTGGCCTAAAACACCACGGAAAATTAAAAAAAAAAAAGAAATCCTGTGAAATTCTGGCTATGATCTTTAATTTTTTTAATGGCTATAAATCTTTTTAAAAAGTGTTCTACACTGAAATAAAAAATAGAATAGAATTTAAAAGGTCAGAAACAGATCCTGACTTCAGCAAACTTTAATCTTTGATAAAGCCTTCTTTGCAAATCACCTAGAAATCTGACCAAATAAATGACAATAAGAATAATGAGTTTACCACAAGAAGAAAACATCCAACACCATCAAAAAATGGGGCGACGAAATGAACAGAAACTTTCTCTAAGAAGAAATCCGAATGGCAAAAAAGCACATGAGAAAATGCTCTACATCATTAATCATCAGCGAGATGCAAACCAAAACCATAATGAGATACCATCTCATACCTCAGAGATTGGCCCACATCCAAAAGAACAAAAGCAACTGATGCTGGCGCGAATGTGGCGAGAAAGGGACCCTCCTTCACTGTTGGTGGGAATGCCGACTGGTTCAGCCCTTTTGGAAAACAGTATGGATGATTCTCAAAAAATTAGAAATTGAGCTCCCATTTGACCCAGCAATACCACTCCTGGGAATATATCCCAGAGAGGCAAAAAAGTATAGTAGAAGTGACATCTGCACTTGTTTGTTCATTGCAGCACTCTTTACAATAGCCAGAATCTGGAAAAAACCTGAGTGCCCAAGAACAGATGACTGATTAAAGAAACTTTGGTACATCTACACAATGGAGTACTATGTAGCTGTTAGAAAAGATGAAGTCATGAAATTTACATACAAGTGGTACTACATGGAAAGTATGATGCTAAGCGAAATGAGTCAGAAAGAGAGGGATAGACATAAAAAGATTGCATTCATCTGGGGGACATAAAGTAACAAAATAGGAGATTAAAACCCAAGAATAGCTGAGATCAGTACCAGGAGGATTACTCCATGGCTTAGAGGCCAGCCGGGCATTCCAGGGAAAAGGGCAGCTCAGATAGAGAAGGGGGTACCAAATAAAGGATATTTGGAGGATCCTCCCAGGAGGGGAGATGCAGGTTGAAAGTAGACTATGGTCTGAACATGATTGCCACTCAATGCCTCTTTTGCAGACCACAACACCCAAACGGAGAGAGAGAACAAAAGTGAATGCCCTGCCACAGAGGCAAGGTGGGATGAGGGGATGGGAGTGGGAGGGATACTGGGATCCATGGTGGTGGAAAATGGGTACTGGTGGAGGGATGGGTATTTGATCATTGTATAATCGAAATCCAAGCACAAAAATTTGTAAATTTACAACTGTACCTCATGGTGTTTCACTAATAAAAGTTAAAAAATAAATAAATAAATGTTTAAAAAAAGAATGCGTTTAACTACATAAAACAAAAATTTAAGATTGTCTTACACATAGGAATAAATGGGCTAGAGTTAAATTTGCTAAATGAAAACTAAAAGAAAATGAAGATTTGATGTTTAAACGGAAAAGGAAAAATAGACTTGATATAAAATCTTTAACTGTTATAAAATAAGAGTAGGGTGAAGGATGTGACTCAAGTAGTAGAACACATGCATACCTTGTGTGCGGCCTGGATTCTCTCCCGAGCACTACATGCCCTTCCCCAACCCTGCTGGGAATGGCCTAGTTACTCCATAGGGCCCGCAAATAAAAACAAAATAAAAATAATTGAAAAAAATAATAAAAGACAGTTAAGTATACATATTAGGCAGTATGATAGTCCTTATGGCATTAAATAAACATTATAAATCAATAAGGAAAATGTAAACAATGCCCATTTTTTGACCCAATTTCGATTCCTCTGTCCCTCCTGGAGAACCCAGCAAGCTACCAAGAGTATCCCACCCACACAGCAGAACCTGGCAAGCTCCATTATGTATTTGATATGCCAAAAACACTAGCAACAAGTCTCACGATGGAGACGGTACTGGTGACTGCTCGAGCAAATCCATGAACAACGGAAGGACATATGTAAGAGGTATAAAAGAGGACCAGAGAGAAAGTACAGCGGGCAGTAGCCAACCCATGTTCAATCCACAGCATCCCTTCTGGTCCCTCAAGTGCCACCTAGAGTGATTACTAAATGCAAAGCCAGGAATAAACAATGTAGATGTGAGCCCAAACCACACACATTCACCCAAAAAAAAAGAGAGAGAAGAAAATACACACACATACACAAATTTAAAATGTGCATATCCAGCACCATTTTTCACCAAAGTTTTTTTTATTCAATTATAATTTACAATGCTGACTGCTGTTGAGTATATAAACAAGTTCAAAACTTTGGAAAATAATTTTTAAAAAATTAATGAGGCCCTTAATAATAATCTTTTATCTGTTACTTA